GTGTGTGTGTGTGTGTGTGTGACGATCACTGTGAGAACAGCAGATATCTAAACCACACAAATCTCAAATAAAGCCAGACCTTCATGGGTACATGAAGTAACAAATACTGTGTTACTGATCCGAAGGCGGTACAAAAAACAAGGTGTGCATTTGTGTTAGTATCTTTACCTGAAGCCAGAGTTTATTGTTCGACGTGTCTCGTCCTGTGGCGATACACTGAAAAGTGGCGTTCTGTCCGGCGTTCACCTCCACGTCCCCGAGTCGCAGAAAATGAGGGGATTTGTCTGCAGGAAATTATGGTCAAACAAGGAAAATAATAAGTCCACAGCAAGGATGCATGTTTCTGTGTTTCTAAATGCTTTTCTGTTTCATTTCAGTGAGTCTGCTAAAAGTGGAAATGAGGTGACGGAGCCACAGGGAGCTATAGATACAAACAGGTCGGCTTATCACAGACGCACGTACACATTTACGGGCCTTTTTATAACCCTGAGGACTATGTTCATTATTACTGCGATTAGATTTTACCAGAGTCAGATGAAACCAAAACACGGCGCTGCGTTGCCACTGGGAGGAAACATCAATGTCACATTCAGTGTGTATAATTCACATAGCCTCCAGTTCTTAAATACTATACGCTAAAATATGAGCTGAGGCTTTAAACCCCGAAGACGCAGTTCAGCTATGACATTTTTATTCCGGGGAGGTGATTGCAATCATACATAGCAGCTCCCCTGGTGAATGAAAAACACACACACACACACACACACAAGCTTGCACACATGCATTCATGCACACACAAACCTGTGTGTCCAGAAATGCAGCTGTGAGAATGAATGCTTCCACTGTGGAGACTAAGTACTAATTCCTTTTCAAATACCAGCTCCTTCCTATTAGGAGTGCTGCTCCTCTGACCTCAAAAGACTGAGGCTCCTCTTTTTATAATTACTCAGGTTCCTGCTCGCTTTAGTGACAATATTAATGTGCAGATATTTCTTTCACCGGAATATCGACAAGGTCTGACAGAGACAAGTACAGCAGTAATACCAGGACATCAAAAACTGTACGCGGGGACGACGCGAGACAGTTTATCTCTTTGACTTATAATCAATAGAATCTATTAAGAAACAAAATTGTCGTCAAAGATTTTGGTGCCGCGACGAGACAGATGACCAAAAGGAGTTGTAATTGCTTCCTTTCAAAACATAGGGACCCTCCAGGAACCGGCCCGTGGCTTTAAATTAACGCACGCGTCTGTTAACAGATACAGTTCATTGTCACAACTCTTTTTTTGTGTTTGGCCTCGAGCAGCAAGGAAACACTCAAGCAAAGGAGAGAAGAAGACTCGAGACAGAGTGAGAATTTAAAATGGATCGCAGCCCTCATCTCTTTCCTGTCAGCGCCAGACAAGACAGCTACTGTTCGCTCTGTGTGGTGTGTGTGTGTGTGTGTGTGTGTGTTTAAGAGAGAGAAAGTGCTGAGTGGTCAAAATCGTTTCTCTCCATGATTGCCCTAATACTGTCTCATTTCCCGCTTCACCCTCTCCTGTTCCCTCTTTCTCTCCCTCTCACAATCTCTTGCTCTCCCTTTTCTCTTCTCCTCTCATTTCTCTCCACGACTTGCCTTTGCATCCCTCCTCTCCCGTGTCACCTTCCCACTTATCTACCCATTCAGCTGCAACAGAAACCATCCCAGGTACAGTCTAATTAGTGGCCAAAGCTATCAGCGTCTATTCAGCGAACTAGGACTAATTGCTGGCATGCTAATGACTCACCGCACGGGTAGCTGAGCACCTGAATGTCGTCGATGGCGATGAAGCCGGCTTTGCTGTCCGAGACCTCCGCTTCAAATATGACCTGTGGAGAGAGAGGGTATCTATATTTATTCGTGTGGTTTCATTTGTATTTACAGAACACATATTTACAAATAGCACATAATTAAACGGAGACGTGATCATTTTGAAAAAATAAGTCTTCACCAGTCAGAGCAGTGAGCACAGTCAAGCAACCTACAAATGCTCTGCTTGCAAATCACTATCCCTCAATGGCAAATCATGAGCTGTGTCTCTGAACTGCAGTTTTTCGAGGCACGAGCAGGACAATCGTCGGGACAATCGTCAGTTAAGTTTGCTGTGAAAGTGATGGATCCACTGTGAATCGCCACAGAACACCAGCATTGTGCATAAAAGTGGATAAATACAAAGCTGCCATCCTCACTGCAGCTGGATTTATACAATCTGGCCAACAAATCAGGAAAGGATAAATGAGGTACTTTCTGCCGGATCACAGTAATCTCCTTTGGTACACACAAAATGGCTGCCAAAGAAATGATAATACGTACTGAAACCCAATGTGGTGAGGTAGAGAATAAAATGTGAGAGCCCGTCTATTTGTTTTTCATTATCCTCCCATTTTTCAATGTCTTTTTCTTTTTCTGCTTCATTTCATCTTTTCTCAATTTATTTTGCTCAATCTGCTTCTTCACTCGCAGAGATGACACATATCCAGTAATTTCTTTACTTTTTTTTTGATAGTTGTTCTGCGATGTGAGTCAATCCAACGCTTTGGTCCAGTCTGAAATATCTCCACAACTACAATGATCACCTCAACGTGCTTTGTTCTCTGCTGCTGCTGCTGCTGCACACTGGAGGGTTTTAAACTCAATTTGAAAAAAAAAACGTGGGAGACCAAATGACAGATTTAATCGATTTCTATTCTGAACACACACTCTTTGTAGGAAACCATTTCAGTGGCGATTGAAAATCTCACAGAAAACTGTCGGAGCTGATTATTGGAGATCGGGGAGGCTCCGACTCAATCAGTAGCATTAAGATTATTTAGTAAACCCCCCCCACACTTCAGGATTATTTGGGCAGATAGTCGGCACAGTCGGGCACACCTCTGCAATTGTCAGAGGGGCAAAAATCGCCCCCTGATTATCCTCTAGTCTGCAGCAGCCATGAGGTGCAGGTTAGAATTTGATTTAGTACATAATTGAAAAATAAATTTCCTTTGGCATCAGTTCTATTTTGTGTTTGGTTAAATGTAAGCATGCTATGCTCCGTGATTCCTTTGCTAACCTGCTTCTCTAAATCCTGTATTTCCAGCAGTGTGTAAAATCTGCATTCAACAGGTGCCTCTGCTCGCCACCATCTCAGTTCATCAACTCCTGGTCTGAATAAAGACGATTCTCCTCATCCTCATCCATCTCAACCAACTCATCTCCCCCGCGCTCCTCCTCGTCCATGTGTTCGTCCTCCTACTCCCTCTGCTCGTCATCATCTCTTTTTATGAACATTTCTCTGCCCCTAATTTCTCTCTTTCCATGTCTCCTCTGTTTTATAAGTGTTTACTCAGAGAGGAGCAACGTAATGAACAGCGGAGGAGGAGGAGGAGGGGGAGGAGGAGATGGAGGAGGAGAGGGAGTGGGGCTAGCTATCAGAAGAGAGACAGAGAGAGAAAGAGAGCGAGGGGGTGAGCCGTTGTTGTCATTCATCACCTGTAAAAGGAAATCTGCCGTGAACTGTTTACCCATAGCTTATCACCCCCTGCTTGTCACACACTCCCCCCTCTCTGCCTCCCTCCTCCACCAATCTATCTTGTCTCTCGCTCCTATCATCTTTCACTCATAGCTCACCGCGGAGCACGGCAGAAAGTCATCAGTTGACTTTTAATACCTTCATCTCTGTCTGTCTGACGACCGGCTCGCCCGTCCGTCCGTCTCTCCCTCCACAGTCTGCTGATCATCGCTTGCCATTATGCACACGTTTGTTTTGGAAGCCGTCCCGAAAAAAATCTAACGTCCTCCTCTCCTCCGTCTGCACGTGTGTGTGTGAATTTTATACTTTCTCTTCTTTTTAGATCTACTTCGGTTCAAATAAGCAGGGACGTGATTAAGTCAAGTCTCGTGTCATCATTGGAAGGTTGCGACCTTTCTCAGGGAACGTGTCTTGGGATAATGGTTATATGGTATAAATTGGTGCTGTACAATTAAAATTCATTTGAACGGAGATGAGGATTACTGATAGATTGTGTTTGCAAGTCCTCACATGGGCAAAGCGGCTGTGAAACGCTGAAGGCTGAGCACTGACACATCATCACTCCAGAGTAGGGTTGGGTAATGGCAAGCATCCTCTTATCAACCGATCACATATATCATTTTAATGTATGCAAGTATGGGCACCGAATCAAAAATGTTTAAACCTGCAGGGAGGGGACTGTTTTTTTTTTACATTTCTTGTTATAGCCTGAATCCTAAGATATGGCAGCTGGGGCGACGCACCACCTGTCTCCAAACACGTACTCATATTTACTTGAGGAAATATATGTTAAACCGGGGGATGAAAAACAGCAGTGGGATTTTGAATAGAGATGTAAATGAAAGACCTTGCCAGAAACATAAATTCTGAATGTTGTGTTTGAAATGTCAAAACGTTGATATGAGTCCAAAGGAACATCGCGTCCAAAACATTCTCATAGAGAAGTTGCGATACCCACACCATCACCATCAGGGTTACCCGAGTGAAGCATTAGCCAGAGCGGCTAAAAGTAAAAACGTTGTGATGTACCGTATGCAAGACTTGAGTTTCAAGCTATTCAAAGGTTATTTGTGTTCTTTTTATGACTGTAGAACTAGACAATGAAATATGTTCTATTAATTCATTCTCTGCCTTTATTTGTTTTTCATATTCTTTAACCTTTAACAGGTATCAGATCCTACTCTGTGTTGGTATTGGGAAGGGAAACGTGGTATTGGAACATCTCTATTATCCTATATTATGAACAAATCCTTACATTTGAGAACCAATCATATTTTATAGCCGATAAATTTCTAACTAATCAATAAACGGATTAATCACAGCAGCTTTTAGTACAGTAGAAATTTCAATCTGAGTTTGGTTAATTTGTCATAGTTGAGGAACTCGTGTGATGTGAAGTTTTCATTCAAAATAAAAAGATAAAGACAAAAAAGTAATAACATGGTCTACCTAAATAGAGCTGCCCACGCATGTGTGTGTGTGTGTGTGTGTGTGTGTGTGTGCGTGTGTGTGTGGGTGCTTACACATGTCGAAATGTGCCGAGTCTTCCTGTGGTGAAACCAGCCTCATTACAACTCAAGCCAAAGTGCTAACACAGAAACATGTTCCAACGTGGAAAAAATAGCTTCATAACCACAAATCTAATAACCTGCTTCATAGCCTGAAAAACCTACATAAGCCTCAGCAAACCCGGATGATTATGTTCAATTAAAACATGTTGACACACGAGTTTCAGGACGGTGATCTGCTCCCGTAGTCACCGAGGGGGGGGGGGCGGGTTGGGCACCAGATGGGCCATTTGGAGGATGCTTTCTCACTTTGCCTTACAGTAATATTATATGGTCCCCAGGCTGTGTGTGTTAACATAATCAGAGTGTGTATGCCTGCGAGGACAAGCTACCCGACAACAGGCACACATTTGTCAACACCAGCCAACACACACACACGCACACACACACACACACACACACACACACGCACACACACACACACACACACACAAAGAGGGAGAGATCACGTTGACTGACATTAATTAAGAATGAAGAAGAGACAGACAGTAATCAAGTTAATTGCAACTGTCCTGCAATACGTGCTGCCTCTGTGAAGCTTCTATTTTTATTTAAAAAACACAAAAACTACATTTAAGTTGTTCATACCCAACACAATGACACACACACACTCACACACAGACACACACACCGTCTTTTCTAGCCTAGTCGTCACCTCCTGAGCCTCAGTCAACACAAATAAATCAGCTGCCTCCCTCACAGCGTGTGTATTCGTATTTTTGTGTGTGTGTGTGTGTATCATGTGTGTGTAGTCACATGAAGACAACTGGAAATAAAGAAGTATGTGCATGACAAATGAATCATGCGTTAACACAACATGACACGACCGTTGGTTGTTATTCAAGGGAGTTACCTGATATTCATTAGGCCAAAAGGTGGAGACGGCCAGTTCAGCCCTCAGCCAGTCTTTACCTGGACGACAACATCAGAGTCAAGTGAGTGAAAATCAGAATACGTATGAATGAGAGGTGTAATCTGAGGCGGTCCTTACCGGTGTAGGACGTCACATTCCATATGGGGTTGGCCAAAGGACCCTTATTAACCTATAGATGACACAAAACAAAGATTAAAGATTTCACACAAAATGAAAATATTTAATATGTCCAACCAATTTATTGTTTCGCCATTAAAATTGACTGATGTGAGTCTCTCGCAGACATATTGGCGCTTATGTTGGCTGATGTGTGAAAACCCTATAAGTCTGTTTCTTGTTTGTCTTTTCAAACAAGAAGGTCAGAGGTCAGTGCAGTCCCACGCAAAATCTTTCTCAAGGACACTTTGGCAGAGAAGATGTTTGCAGAAATAATTGAACTGGGCTTATCATATTTATACGCAGTCAGAGCCAGTAAATGGTAAAACCAATAAAACTGCAATCTCCTGTTAACCTTTATGAGAAAATTCGCTTTTTTTAACAACTTCCACACATTTCAAGAGGAGGAGATGATGATGAAATCACAGACGTGTTCTGGAAATAGAGTTTGGTTGTTTGCATTGTCTAGTTTGTCCAATCTGATTAATTCTTCCATAAATTAAAATAATCATGACGTCAATTAAAGGATTTCGTCTGAACATTGTGATTTAAACATTTAGTAAAACTTTATCTCTATTCTATTCTTTGTGGGTCGGTGTTTCGTACCTTCACCAGGACGTTCAGGGTGCCAGGGCTGGACCCGTCCGGGCTGGTGAGGAGATAGCTGAAGTCGATGCAGTGGGTGTCATTCTCCTTCATGACCGGCAGCTGAAATCGGGCCTTTTCGCCGACATCGTACTGAGAGACGTCCACATACATGTAGGAGCCTGCACGCAGAGACAAAGACAAGGTCAAACGACAAAAAGAGACACCAACAGAATATTTCCCTCAGCAGCTGAGTAAAGAAAATGTAAAGTCAACTAGCACATGCAGCAAAGTGAAAAAACTCCCGTCATTAGCTGAACAGCCTCTTGTTTTAAATAGTTTGTTTAGTGCGCAGGTGTCGAGTATTGAATAATCCTGTAAATCAGAGTCTGTGATAACTCGTTAATCCCTTCATTCCTTCAAAAGCTGTGTGGGATCTTTCTGTCGCTTGTTGGTGAGAGCCGACTCTGAAATAAATCATCATATAGAAAAAATAAATGTTATGAAACCCAAAGAATCAAAACCACTTCTTGTCCCGATTAAAGCAATTTTGAAGTTTCAAGTTCTGCTCCCGAAATGAAATGATTACTGACGAGCGTACAGACGAATGGATGGAATGATTACTATATTCCTCCACCTTATACGCAGCGGGGATCAAAAGTTCAAGTTCATGCTGTTTTTTTTTTTGTCTGACCAAAATGACGACCCTTGAATTACCTCGTTCTGATTTGCAGACATTTGTGCTCGTACTTCACAGACCAGCTGAGGTTCACTGCCGGAGCAGACGAGCAACGCTGCCCTCAGAGGAGGTCGTTAGTGAACAGACACAGTGTGTATTACTTGTGTGCTTCTATGTATATGAAGTGAGGGAATAAATGTGTTTTAAAAAGTTAGTTATAACTACTCACTATAATTTTGTAACTGTTTTCTTACTTTATCCTTGTTTTTCCTTTTCGGTCAGGGATTTTACTCTAACGTAACAGAGTATTTTATTTCAACTTTAAAACTCCTTTGTTTCGTTGAATGAAAAAAAACATTTCTTTAATTTTGTTTGGTGTCTTTTTCGCAGCTGTGCGATGCTTGTCACTTTTCAATTCACTGCACATCCTGACAAATACAAATCCTTGAATCTAAATTAGAATGTGAATATGTCAAACAACCTGACACAGGGACAGTATATACAGTGAAACTATGATATATGGGGAAGGGGCTTTAATAAGGTCAGATGCTAATAACCATTAAAAAACATTTCTTGTTTTTATCTGGTGCCAAACCTTCAAATATGGAACGTGCTGCTGCTGGTTTGTTGTGGAACAAGCTGTTGGTAATTAACTTGATAATAGTTTTAAATTGAACTTGTCTGTTGACTGTTTGTCTGCTCTCTGCACACGCCTGTCAGTGCTTGTCAAAGATAGTTTGTGAGAGATGAACCACCACTCTGTAACATCACGGTACACTGACAAGTGTCTCTGCAGCTCCAGTAAATCCAGCAGAGTGAGACCTCTCAATGTTTCATGTCATGTCACTGTCGGGGGTGGCATTCACCGAACTGAACTTTCATTGATATGATTTATAAAAATAAATCTCCCCTCACTGCCTCGGATACTTGTCGACATGACAGCTCCCCACAACTATCTTGATCGCCCCCCGGTGGCTCATGGCAGCATAGGTCATAAACTCTGCCTCCATGTTAGTACATGGGACATGGACCAAATTAAACAGGTCACAAGTACACTTCACCCTTTCCCTAAAATATGGTTTCTGTAATTTGAGGTTGTTCATACTTCTGCTAAATTTGCTTTTAATTCATATTAAATTGATTGAAATGTCGTTTCATCTCCCTCAGACTCCAAATGACATGTTAAGTGCAAGATGGCAGCCTTCATACCCAGGATATATTTCTGGATAGTGGGAGGAGGTTGGGACGTGTCGTCCATCGTTATTTTTGTCAGTCCTGGGAATTGAACTTTTGTCACCAGAATTCAGTGGAATCCCTGTTCTCTGTTGTACCCCCCCCCCACCCCCCCCCCAGTTTGGTCTTCCCTCCATAGCTAACGTTTTCTAACCGTGAGTTTCCCTTTGATTCCTCCCTTTTATGTTTGCATGTTTTCTCTCTCTGCTTTCATTCCTTTTGGGCTTTTTGTAGAAGAATCAGTCCCCCCCTCCCCCCGACACATAAAACAAACCGCTGTTCCTATGACTGAGTCATTTGTTTCTTCTTTATGATTGTGGGGCTGTTTCTTCACTTGTAGAAAACAAACAAACAGGGAGAAGAGAAGAGAAGAGAAGAGAAGAGAAGAGAAGAGAGGAGAGGAGAAGAGAAGAGAAGAGAAGAGAAGAGAAGAGAAGAGAAGAGAGAAATCCTTTCTGCTTTTCCTTCCACTTTTTCTTTATTCCACCTCCTTTCATTTCTATGAATAAATGGTGAAGAGTCAAGGTAAATGCCAATGTGTGAGAGAAGAGAGGCAGATCAACAAAATTAATATTAGTGAAGCTTCATCATTATCATGTATAATGATCAGCTTGCTGCCAAAGTACATGTTGAAACCAGTCATGCAATCTGCCCAGGCCCAGGCAACATATCATTACCTGCAAGTAGCCAGCAGTGAAACATTATTAGCTGCATTTTCAGAGAGAGGCCCGGAGGCTATGCTTTTCTGCTTTACTTATTTTGTTCGCGTTATGTTCCCCCTTTTTCTGCTGAACTCAAACATAAATCAGTCATCTTTGTTATGCTAACATGACAGGATTTCTTTTCAGTGCTATACCTTATACCTAAAGTATGAGAGCAGGAAATGAAGCTCAACATAATGCTTTATCAAAATCAGTCAGCCCATCCAGATGTTCTAGTAATCAGCTCAGAGCTCAACCAGATGTCGCTCCGAGGAAAATAGGATGAAACGCGATATTTTCCAACCTGATGTTTAATCTCACATTAGTTTCTCACAAACTAGGAGTACGTCCACACTAATGCTGGACGGAGATTATTCACATTTTCAGAAATGATCTCTGTTTAGACGACATCACCTGTAAGTGACACGTTTGTTAACTAGAACGTGTTGGTGTGGATGTGGCCTGAGAGAGAGTAGCCATGGTAGTTTCAGTTAATCCTTCAGATTGGATTGTTGACTGTGACAATAGCTGTGAATGTTGATGGTTGATTGCATTAGGCTGAACGACACATACACAGAGCCAGGCAGGTGTTATGTTAAAACCTGGCTGTGAGAACTACACACCAATCACAGGAACGGAAACAGTTTAAGCAGGGTTAATATAAGTTCAGCCTGCCTGCTGAGGACAGTAAAAATGTTATGGATGCTTTGAAGGCCCACCTACGTAGCGGGATTTCTCCCAGTGGTCCCAGCAGGCAGTCGGACTGTGACAGCGGGGTCAATGCTGTTGTCAGATTAATCATATATTATTTCTCAAGCAAAACAGACGATGTCTCCAGCTTCTCAGACGAGAGAATTTACTAGATTGGTTAGTTAAAACCCTAAACTGAAAAAAAGAACAGAACAGAAACAAATAAATAAAAAACAAACTAGGGCTGAAACTGGTGATTATTTTCCATTATCCACAAATCTGTTGATTTAGTTTTTTCAATTAATAGATTGTTTAGTTCATTAAATAACAAAAAGGTTCCAACAAAACTTCTTAGCTAAATGTTTTATTATTGTTTAATTTTTCAAAAAGTTAAGAAAATCTTCAATTTTGAATTTGCAATAACATATGAAAAATAAAAGCATGAAATCCTCTCATTTAAGAGGCCCCAGGGCCCCAGTCTTTTTTCCCATTGTTTCACTGTTTTTGCTTGAAAAGTTAAATTATCAATATTATACAATGAGTTGGGAGAGAAATAGAAAAGAACAGAAATATGAAATAAACTGAACATAATGGAGTAGAACAAAGAAGAACAGAACAGGACCAAATTAAATACAATTGAATAGAATTAATTGAAGAAAATAAAACAAAACAATACAATAAAGCAGGATGTTTGTGTTTCAATAAAAGACACACAGCACTTCTGGGTAATTCTATTTGCAAATTATAACATAAACAATATGTGCTACACAATAGGCTGCAGAACAATGGTGATTATCAGTTATTGTTTAGCTAATCTACTGAGAGAAAACACTGTTCTCTGCAGAAGAGCAGAACATAACAGGTTTTTAACTGGTGCACACACACACAGCCTTTCAGTATCAAACATGTATCCCAGTTATTGGTTTGGCACTTCTCCTCCTCCTCCTCCTCCTGTCGTTTCCACCACCCAACCCCCACCTCCACACAGCCATTGAAGTATTATAATAATCCTACTTCCTGGTTCTGAATGTCACTAACAAGCCTCTGTCCAAACAGGACTTCAGCCAAACAGGCCTCAAACAAGACAAGGCAGGCACTACTCTCTCTCTCTCTCTCTCCCACATTGCCTCCATCTCTCTCTTTCTCTCTCTCTCCATTGCTTCGATCTACATCCATCTCAAATGAACACACGACGGATGTCACTCCTATTCCTTTATTTCTGGCACTGAAGCCAAGATGGTGACATGAGAAAAGTGTCTTGAAGATGGCTGCCAAGATGGTGTGCCAGCTAAAAATACTCCCTACAGGCTGTGAGGCCCAGATATGTCATACGAACACAACAACATGGCAAAAATATAACCTTTAGCACTTTAGATAATCATAACACTGCAAGCTGCTGTGATGTTTCACAACAAACAGATTAGCTATAGGTAGATATAGGTGGATATTATTCAGAAAGAGTACAGGGCTGTCAATTTACGCATTGAAATGATATTCTACAAATCATTAAAATGCTTCAATATCCACGAGAGAACTGAACATTAATAACGCCTTACGAGAGACAAAAATACGACACCGGGAAATATGACTAATTAAAGATTGACAGTACATGAAACTGATACAAGCAGACCTGGTGATGCCAAGAACATCTGACACTTGAAGTCTGCCAGTTTCTAAAATGGCTGATGTCTCTGAACTGCCAATGTCTAAAATGGCCACCACTACAATGGCAACACAACAAAACGACAACTGTTAAAAAAAAAAAAAATAACACACGCTCTTGACAGCCTTAAGACCCAGATACTGTTTGTCACATAAAGTGTAACAGCAGTGTGTTAGACAGAGGACAATGTTCTTCAGCAAGACAAAAACGTTCAGCCTTTATGGTGTTGGCCAATGATGCAATTAGCTAACGACCGTAAGGAGTACATTTCTACGACATAACACTAATAACAGTTAATAGCAGCTCGTTCAAAATGCAGAAATACACCACCACTGACACCAAGAAGGAATCCTTCGATCCCACTGGTCCTTTTTGGATTTACTTTGATGAATGTTATTATGACTGCATGATTAATTTTCTTGACATTGGTTGTTTTGCAATGTTGTCTGTGTTATCTTAATTTCCAATCAAATTATAGATTTTTCTGTGAAATATAAGAAATAATTAAATAATTAAAAGCAAAATGTTAAAAATTATTATTAATTATTATTAATTAGACAGAGAAAAAGCAGTAGATCTCCACATTTCAGAAGCTGCACAACTGAAACTTACAATAACAACTATTTTCTATCAGAATGCTAAACAAATAAATCTATAGTTTTAACTCTAATTTGGATTTCGCTGAAATAACAGAGTGGATATAAGACAACCCAATGCAAACAAATGCAGTATTTACTGAGCTTCAGGTCCTGCAGAGACTCATGTCAAAGAGATTTTCATTTGATTTGATGATAATTTGTAGGGCACTGTTAGAGCTGCTGTATCCATCATTATTTGATTATTAAAACATCCAGTGTACAATGAACCAGCTCTGCAGCAGTTTAAATCCCTTTATTCTCTTCCTTTACCAGAGCGTAGTGAAAAACAAGAGGACAGAGGGAGGCATGGAGAGCAAGGCATGCCAAATAGGTTTAGAGTGGTACTGGCTGACAACATTATGAGTCAAGAGTATCTGCTTTAGTCCACTGAGCCACTGCACCACAGCCCGTGAATGTTCGACTGGCACGACGCACAATGCCAGCGTAGCATCGAAACCCATGCAGCCATGGTGACGAGTGCCAGAATCAACCCTCAGAGAAATTACACAGAAGAGTTTTATCTCTATTACAAAAACTGCCAAACCATCCCTGCACACTCAATACTGCCTCAAGCACAAATGGCGATTAGCAACTGGGATGAATCGATGTAGGATATAAGGAACAAAAGTATAATTGTTGGCTCAACTACCCGATGATGGCTCCTCTACTTCTGCTAATACCTTTGACAATATATGACCCCCTGAACTACTAATCAGCAAAATAAACTCCCTCCCTCAGGACTTTCGAGATGCCAAATGCTCTTAACAACTCCCCTTAAATAAAGGGAGTCGGTATCTCTTTGTTTTCAGGGGTCAAAAGCCAAAAAGGTTTAGTGCCACTAGCTGCTGTAAATCATGTCATGCCCTCAGGGACACAGCAGCCAGCCAGGCAAGAGTACTTCTAAATTACTGGTGGCTATGATTTCCAGAGAAACTAACAATACTAACAATAGCCGTTACCCATGTGTCCCTGGGCAAGGCATGTAAGCTAGCAACTCAGCCTCGCACCCATTTCCTACAACTCGGTCCAAATACGAAACCTAGCCAAGTGTTGTATCTGTAATCCCCTGCAGCCATGTTGTTTTCCACCCAGCGAGCCGCTGTCCCCGCACGCTGCCGGCATTATTAACACATCAAATGTCAGTTCACGCTCCCACACCTTTAGGCAAAAGGCTCCGAACCCCCCCTACAGCATGGGACGTCTCCAAATCATTAACCTGCTGTGCCAACCTCGTGCCCCCACTCACTCCACAAAAGCTTGTGCAGGCCTGCGTTACTGCTATGCTAATACCAGGCGCTCTTGGGCAAGGTATTTAACCTGTTCAAGCTGCCAACTCTGCCCTCTCCGCAAAGTGACACCTCTTGGTATTAATGACAGCAAATGCAAGAGTTTGGCTTTGTACCACTGGGCGAGGTACCAGACACTTGTGTCATGGCTTAAATATATGCAGGACCACATGTGCAAGAGAGCAACACACATTTTGGGTGTAAGTGTGTGTGTGTGTGTTGTGTGTGAAAATCGAAGAGAGCTGGTGTTGAACCGAACCTTTCTCTAAATGTCAGCGAGCCTGGGTTGTCATGATGATAAGCATGAGAGATAAATAACGGCATTAGATTGTCATGGTAACAAAGACATAATCTTCCACAACAGACGAGGGGGAGAGGAGACACAGCGAGACAAAAGGACGGGAAAGAAGCGGAAATGAGGAGAGAGGAGAGGACAGGGAGACAAAAAGGAGAAAGGAGGAATTAAAGGAGAGGAGAGGCAAAAGGAGACACAGTGATAGGATGAGAGAAGTGCAGAGATGAAAGGGCGGAGGAGATGACAGAAAAAGACCAAAGAAGAAGGGAGGAGAGGACACGAGAGAGGTGGAGAGAAGAAACTCCTGAAAGACTTTTTGATGGTCACCGTCATTGCTGGGACACCAGTGGACATTTTACCCTGTGGTATTTAGGTTTCTGTAAAGCCAGCCGTACGATCTCAACACTGCACACAAGCTTATTGTTATAACATTTTGCTTTTAACACTGTAAAGTAGGCAACCTTCCCCTGTTCACTGCCATTGATTAATGACCTCATATTCTGTTAATTAGACCCCCAGCCCTGAGGCAGAAAGATTTAATTTCCCCTTCATCATCATCATGGAGGAGGGAAAAACAACTGATTAAAGAGGAGAAAGAAGGGAAGACGAGAGGAGAGGCAGAGGAGGTAAAAGTACCATTACAACAATATTTAAAAACAGATTTCCAGTGTAAAAACAAAAGTACTGTTATTTGACCGATGTATTATTACATGTTACATAATTACATTGTTGATACAGAGCCAACAACTTGGATGAGGCCTTTTATTGGTTAAAGTTGAGCTAACTATTCTATTTAATTATGAATTGATTGTGTCATTATTTTTTATTTTAATCCAGTGGTCACCTCCAAAGTGTTGTTACATGAAACTGGAAGGTCTCAGATGATTAAGGGCATTTAAGCTATGTCACAACAATCAAATATTTCTATAATCTTGTGAAGCTTTTGGTTTAAAATACTTTTGTTTGAATTTTAAGTTCTTAGGATTTTTTGGAAAGAAACATTTCTTTGTGTTTTTCCTACCGACTAAAAACTAAGGGTGCTCCCGTTGATCGGCCACCGGTAATTAGTTTGTTCAGACGAGGCAAAACAACAGCTGAAAAATAAATGTATTTGAGTAAAGAATTTATCTCTAAAATGTGATGAAATCATGAGCTGCGGGTGCTTGGTTACTTTCCCCGCCTGTGAGGAGCTGATCGGTCGATGGAGAAGGCGTTTGGTGGGTGAGTGGATGAAGATGAAAGGATTAGTCTTTACCGTGCGGCAGGTCTGGTGAGACGTAGGGCACATCCTGGGTGTTGATGTGTGTCCAGTCGAAGTCATCATAGGGATCTTGCTGGTAATCACACTGAGAGAAGCCCTCATCAAATGTGCAACTTCCTGCAAAGAGAAACAACAAAAGATTTAGTTCACCTCATGAACACAATAAACGTGATTATTTTCACTGCCGCATGACTTCCTGTCTGCTCTGATCCTGTAAAACTTTCTCTGTCTGTTGTTCGTCTGTGCGTGTGTTTGTCTCGGCTCATTAATAAACCACCAGGAGTCTGAGCGCCGACAGTCATCACTCAGGGCCAGTCAGGATCACCTCTGACTCAACCATCACGGCCTTCAGCTGATCATCTGAGCCCATCGCCACCACCCCCGGACACGCATGTGTGAGCTGGCCGCCTGTGGATCCGCCGAAACAGGAAGTCGCACTAATACAGAGAGACGCCACTTGTCCCCGGCGGCCAGATAAACCAATCAACTTGCAATGATATGTGGCTCGTGCAGGCAATATTGCTTATAGGAATAGCATGTTAGCCGTGTGATTCATTGACCTCGTAGTGACGGGCGTCCCTGTGCGGATAAAATGGCTAAAAGCAGCAAAGTGGCGAAGAAAAGCCAGATTGGCATCTGATTCAAGTCACTGGGAGTTACTGGTCATTGTGTCCTCTGTGGGTGACAGGGATTAAACCTTCGATACAAAGTAGTATGATAGTGATATATTTTTTTTGTATGATTATTTTAATTACTTTACGTTGTTCTTGTTTATTGCTTTCATTTTTATATTTGGCTTTGAAAAGTGCTGTACAAATCAAAATGATTATTAAATCCCCTGTTCAGGAATATAGTTGGTCTTGACAACATTCAACATTTATTTCAACTATCAATTACCTTCACTTTCTATTAATCTGACAATTATTTTCTTGATTAATTGACTATATGGTTAATCAAATGTCAAAAACATACCAGAGAACTCCAGTTGCAAATTTCTAAAGCTCGATTTAAAAAGAAAAATGACAAATATTCACAATGGAGAAGTTGAACCAGTGATTATTTTGATGCTTTTGCTTTAAAAAATGACTGAAAACTGTTGATCAGTGAACAAATTTGTTGAAAACTTTACATGCCACTCTAATAAAAGTCCTGAAAACTTGGGTGAAATTATATTATAATCTCATCATATTGGCCTTAAACCCAGGATTAGATAGCAGATAGACAATCTGACTTCTTATGTCAAAGGAACAATATATGGTCAATGTTTTTGAAAACACAAGGATTAAAACTGTACAGTTTTATTTCTTTGTTATGAAATTTGCAGATTTTCAGGTATTGTGGAACTTTCTTGTGGCACCACTTGTTTTCTGAAGAGTCACTGAGAAAAAAACGCACAAAAAGAAAACCACTGTGGAAAAACTAACAGCGCCCCAGCACTGCAGCAACATAAATCTCCTTGTGTTCAGTTAGTGCTACAGCTCTGCTTCGTTTGTCCTGGAGCGAGCTGCGGCGGCTGTGATGGAGAACAGAACGACAGGCCCTCAGATACCCCACTGATCTGAGCTCCTGCTACAGAGGGATACCAAGAGGTGACAGCCACCACCGGAGGAGAAACAAGTTAACATCAAACTAAGTGACTGTCTTGGGCTGCCGGCTGTACGGCTGGCTGTGACTCACAGCCTCCGAGATGCACTGGATCACGTTCCTCGTGGCATCTTCCTTAAAACCAGCCTCTCTTTGTGCATTTCACTTCGCTCCCATTCAATTCAATTAAGTCTCCGTCCCAGCAAGTTTACCTCAAGTCGTAATGCAGAAAATGTGGGGGGGCACGAAGAGGAGCACAACTTGAATTTTTACACTATTACATTAGAAACCAAACTTGGACGTGCACAATCTAATTCCACTGCTGTCTAACAAATGTTCCAGTGTGTGTGTGTTTGTGTAAAACTCCATGACTTCCTGTCTCCAACAGTGTGTGTGTCAGTTTACATCTTGCCGTCAGGTTGCTCTCTCTGCATGGGTCCCAACAGTGTTATTCTAATGTGTGTGTGTGTGTGTGTGTGTGTGTGTGTGTGTGTGTGTGTGTTCCCGTGAACAGACGTGCTGCAACTACAAACATGATATATATATTTAAAACAGAAAACAAACTAGTATAGAACTATTTAAATGTTAAATATCACATAGGACTTGCAGAGACAAAAAACATTTGTTTTAGTTTAAGGATGTCTAATTGTATAGAACTAACTACAGTGTGTTTTAGGGCTGTGGCGGAGGAATTAACTTTTATTAACATGAGAAAAATATCTTTCCTACGTTTCTTCTGCAGAAATTGACGCAACTGTTGAACGCTGCAGGAGAGATGGTTCGCCAGTGTTTACATTTGTATTTATTTCAAACCCTAATCAATGATAGAATTACTGAAATTGTGTTTTAAATTAAATTAATACATAAAACATATTGATCCAAAAGATTTCTGACTATAGGGACATGAACAAAGTATTTCTGGCCACTTCTTTTCTTGTCAGATACAAAAACAATAGCAACGTATTTGTGAACTTAAGTCTGGTGTAAATCCTGAGTATAAAACCTGGCTTTGTACGTTTTCTAAGTAAAAATCACTAGCTGTGCATTGCAGAGCCACTTATCCTTGCTTTACCTACCACAACATTTGTTTGGCCTTGTTTCATCTTGCAGACGGTTCAGAGAACATGCAGAAAACTCTATTTAGTTTCCAAGCTTTTTAAATGCAATTCCTGCCCCTGAAAGAAGTATATAGTGAACAGCAAAATTGGATTGAAACCCACCATGTTTAAAATATGTGCAGTGGGGCTTTTAACTGTGCACACACAGTGTTCCACTCAGCTCACAGTGGAGGAAGTATTTCACCTTGGCTTAGCGGTGAGGAAAAACATGTCCTTGTTTTAAATTACGCTCTACCGACTGGTTTAAAAGAACCTTTCTCAATTGTAGAGCATTCCTCTCCTTTCATCTGGAACACCTTTGATAGACCTTCACTTTCAGCTGCCAACATACAAGCAAAATGACTGTGTGCTCTTGTTTTGGGCGGGGCTTACAGAAAATGAAATAAGAGTGAAACTATCTGCACACACACACACACACACACACACACACACACACACACACACAAAAACCACATGCTAACTCACTCAAATTCTCAGTTAACACTTTCCTCAATGTCCTGCCAACTCACACACACACACACACACACACACACACACACACACAGAAACATTTATCTGAGTGTAAACCTTTGTTGCCAATAATGAGAAGAACAGACCATGAACACTTATTCTGACTCTGTTGAGAAAAGACTCTGCGAGGAGCCGTGTCTTCCCCAAATGTTCTATGGAGTTCACATCAGTCTATTTCTGGAACATGTGTATGTTTCCGATATTTTAACATAAATGTCAAGAATCAATACTTCTTAATCGTACTCAACAGACTTAGTATTCAATTGTGGAGTTGTGTGTCTGCCCCTAAAGAATTGAAATTCAATTATCACAACCAAATCCTGAGGGAAATATGTTGCACTATAGCTGCTAAGTGTTGCAGTACGTTCTCCAGCCAGTCACTGACTTTATCTGTCTGTTGTTGGTGTGGGTAGAGTTCTAAGGGATTTGAATACAACACGTCTTTCAGAGGACTCCTCTGGACGCCTTCGCAGACTTTGTTGCTGCTGTGAACACGTCTGTGCAGAAAACCTCAGTCTCTGATTTTACCTGGAAACAGCTTTCGTGGAATCCTCTCCTAAATGAACGGTGTCACCATTACGCAAAATTCCACAACTCCTCTTTACCTTGACAAAACCAGTCACTGAGGTTTTTCCATAGTTTCCTGCAGAATGTCTCATCTTAACCAAAAATCTCTGCAACATGTACTGTACTGTGCGGCTCCATGTGTGTGTTAACTGTATAATATGATTTAACAAATCCCTACAATTGTTTTTAAACTATATGCACAAATGTGTGTCCAGATGGGTCATTACTGCCGCCGTCCCCTCCATTCACAAGGACACGGAGACACAGAGAGAACCCGACTGCATGCTAATGACTCCCTAATCAGCTTCTGTGATTGGCTGCCTCGCTAATGAAATAATGGTGACTCATTTACATAATAAAATAATTAGAAGGACTTGATAAAGGCTCAAGGGCACAGAGAGGAAACCACACACACACACACACACACACAGACACACACAGACACACACACACGCGCACACACACGCACACACACTGATGGTGACACCGGACAGCCGCAGTCTTTTCGGAAAGATTGTCGAATGGCATCAGACACAACATCTGCCACCGCCACTCAAAATCATTTGGTGCATTGACCCCCACCCCCGGGAGGTGAGTGGATCAAAAGTGGTCTGACCGAAACTTGGGTGCACAGGGGGCCTCAGGGGACCCGCGGCGAAGACGAGGATGATGTCCATTCCTCAGTTATTAGCTTACATCGAGATTATTAGCCGGCGACACAGCCTGGACGTGTAGCAATAGCCGGTTTGATTAACTTTCCCTCGCTCCGATGTGATCTCACCAATCTGCAGAATAGGCAGTATCAAATCTGATCTCACAGCTGAAGTCTGCTCACACAGACGTTCCAGGGACACGTTTAAATCAAATGAAGGTCTGAGGTTCTTTCTCTAGACAATTCCAGAAAATCTATTATGACAAAGAAGCAGATTATCAAATCTGAGAAAGCTAAGCTAATACTGGTGCCCTTGTGTGCAACATTCCTCCAGTGAGAGTTTCTAATGTTGTTTTCTTGAGAAATTTACTCAAGGACAACAGTAGCACGGTCTTGACGTTGTAAAATAATAATAAATAGTTACACGCTGCCTCAATTCAATGGAACAAATTAAAACAGTTGTACATTATCTGCCTCGTGTCGTATTTACTACCATGACTGTTTTGTCTCATATTTGTTCCACTAAAACCGTTTAAGATTCTACCGAGCGCTCAGACAGGACTTCCCTTCACAAATAATCAAAACTTTCATTTCATGAGAAGATGAGTTAATGTAAGGATAACAGCTTAAGGCGGCGGCTCCGTGAACTGTGAAATTATGATACGGCAATAAAGTTTAGGAGCAAA